TTCGCCCGCTGATACGCGCGTAAATTCGTCGAAAATACGCCCTATATGGGTCGTCCTTCATGCTGGAAAATGTAGGCCGCTTTCGGTTAGGCCATATTTTTTTGCGTGTTTCATTTGGCAGCCCTTCGGGCGGAGTCGGGCACTTGCTAGCGTTTGGGATCTGACGGTTCCTGACGTCGTGAACAACTAATGCCGTTCCTCCAAGGGTACAAGGGACGGTAGACCCAGGCCTGGACTACGGTCAACGACCCTGGCAGCGGGACAGCTCTCTCGTTGGAGCAGTTGCTGACTCCTCCATCCCAAAACCCTATTCCAGTCGGCGGAGGAGCTGTTGCGTATGACCCGTGGCGGAGTTAAACGCCGTTATGAGTGCGCCCCCCCCCCCCCCCCCCCCTGGACCATTTTCTGCAACGTCTGCACCTGTCCGTTTGTTTTCGTCGAGCGCTTCTCGTGGGTTAAGATCGTCTGAATCAACGAGCCTGGCGCCATCGTCGCTTCGGAAGCACGCCTGCCCAGCGAACGCACCAGACGGGCGCCGTGATATAACATTCGAACGACGTAAACAACGGCTAAGGTTTCACGACAGAAACACAAAGGCACAATCTGGGGCGATACGAAAATCCGGACGCCTTCATTTTCAACGCGTAGACACGAAGGGTCGAAAGTTGGCACGTCACGTCTCGGTCCTGGACGATGTTTTGACCCGCTGCGTGGATTCCAACAAACCGGTGTTTTGGTAAGACTCTCAGCGCCGTGTAGACCGACAGTGAAGTATTCACGGCGGCTGAGTTTCCGTAATAATGGAATGTGGGGCGCTGTTTGAACGGGACACCTTTGTGTGATTGGCCGACCATCCGCCGATGTGGGGGTCCCTGCCTAGGAACCTAGGGAGAACGAAGGGTTTAAACTGAGCGAACTTCGACAAGCAAAGTCTTCTCTGTTCTTGATCGAACTGTACATCATGTAAATAAACAGTGTACTTTTCGATAGAGATCGCGGCTCAACGTCGTTCCCGCTGAGCTTTAGCCCGGTGCCTCACTCGAGTCGCCCCTCCACCACAATGGACACCGCTCGGTCCCAATACCCAACAGCATGCAGCAAGGCAACCCTACCATAAATTGTGGGATCAAAATCGGTCGCCTGACAACACTTGAGCGCGGCTCATGTATTGGGCACGAGAACTGCGTGAGCACACTACTTCGGCTCGTAACAATCAATGCCTCGGCGGACACTCGGCTAGTGGCTCGTGTTCAGCCACTGCGGTGATGAGAATATCCGAACTCTAAAAATGGCTGGACATCAGCACGCGCTTTGTACATTGCCAACCCCAACGCGTGGGTATGATTAACTTTAACGGCACAGGATAGGCACCAGGCCACGTGGCCGCTTGCTCTGGCTCCGAATTGGGAGGAGGAACGTTGCTCATATTTCTGGAACCTTTTGGCGACTGTCGTTGACAAAAAAGAAAAACTAAGTCAAGTTTCTTGTGTTATTAACAATAGGGGATGAAAGTATTTAGCGAAAGTAGGAACATTGTTTCATGGCTCCTTTAAGCTTGGGTTCACTCACTTCCGACTGCTTTCGACCGAGTTCCTTAAATCGTTTTGGGATCTCTTGCAATGGGAGAACTCGGTTGCGCTATCTATTGCGTAGCGCGGTGGAACACTTGGCATTTCCCTCTATTTTTTTTTTTTTTTAAGTAGGAGCTGGAAGCGGTTTTGTATTTGAGGAAACACACTTAAGTCGTCTGAATCTGACCCCAAAGTATCGAATATCGAAATCATTTTTTTTTTTTTAAATTTGGTGCATGGTGGCGGCAGAAAATAGTTTTCAATGTACTGCTGAAAACCCTCCTTTCCAGAGCGTGACATCACAAGAGGAGTTTTCGGGAATGTGCCGTCTCGCGCATTTTTAGTGCCTGTGAAAACTATGCACGCGCAGTCTTGCTATTTTTAAAAAAAGGGCAAAAAAAGATTTCGCGACTAGTACCAGTGCAGGGGAATACACTTAGCAAGCTTGCAATTGCACGTGCGGTCCTCAGCAGCACGTGCTTGGCGGCCGAACGATCGCCTTATGACATTACGACAGGTCGTATGTTTTTCGTCTTTCTCACTTTTAGTTGCATCTTCCTGGAAAACGAACGTGATCTTCAGATTCACAGGATAAAACTAAGCTAGTATCAACCACTGTATCAGTTTTCGAAATACATGTTCAGCTTCCTTCTAATGTGCTAGCATTAGTACTAACGTGAGAGGGAAAAGCTGACGGCGTTCGTCTGCGGACAAAGCAGTACATGTACCAAAATGAGTTGCTGGGCGAGTTGGATAGACATCTTGACGTAAACAGCGCAAATAAGTTACGTAAGGAAGAGACAACAGGAAGGAAAGAGCGCTGACTCACAACTGAGGTTTTGATAATGATGTAGTGAAAGAGAAGGAAGGTGTCAAGTGCGGTAATATTTTTAAAATAAAGAAGGTTTCTGAGGGCTATATTAACGGAATGACAATTTACATTTTTAAGTAATCCAAGTGAATATATCTACGTACAAATATTCTGATGTGATCTACAAAGTTGACGGTGACCCAACGGTTACTGGTTGTCACAGCCAGAAAGAAAAAGAAGAAGAACCACGATGTCGACGGTGATCCCAAGGGGGGTTGGCTTCCACAGAAATGAAAATTGAGAAGGAAAAAAAAAAAAAAAGGAGAAGAAGAAAACAGGAAGAAAAAATAATTTAGGGATTAAAATTCAAAAATTGGAGCTCTTTCGCCGTCAGAGCAATCGAAGGCCTACTTAGGCAGGCTAGGCCCTTATTCGGGATCTTGCACGCCTCGTACACCTCTCTAGTCTTTTGTTCCTTAAAATGTTTGAGCACCTTAGTCTCAGAAAACCTTGGTGTGCACCCGCATTCTCTCACATGCACAGCAAGATGGCCCGCTGGCGTTGAGTTTAGAGAAAGTGCATGTTCCCTGAGTCTCACATTGATGCACCTTCCAGATTGTCCCAGATACACCTTCTCACATGACAACGATATCTCGTATATGATGCCGCTGTGACATTCCACGAACATGCTTGCATGGTTGATTTTACATAGGTCGTGTGTATCCTGCTGTTCGTTGATTTTTGGACATAATCTTTTAAGTTTGTCGGGCGCCGTGAGGAGGATAGGAACCTCAAACTTTGAGGCTACTCTTTTTAGGTTATGGTAGTTATGGCAGTGCATGTAACTGGAATCGCGCCGCGTAGGGAGCAGCAGGTTAGTGGAGGACAAAGGCGAGAGGGATCGGCGACGTAATGGGGCGGAAGCCAATGCGAGCGCAGGAAACCGGTGAATAGCCTAAGCATCGTGAGACAGCGGATGCCGCTGCTAATCGTGCAAGGCGGGAGAACGAGACTGAGGCGCGGAAGCAGCGCATAGCTCGGCTGGCCGAAACGGGGCGCAGCAAGCGGTAGCCGACGCGGGTCTGCGTGTGACAGACTAGGGGCCAAGCGGGCTCAGCGAGCTGGCTTCGTCGGGGAAAAAAGAATTAAAGGAAGATTTTTGGTGGATTTTTAGGAACTACGTTAGCATGAGCCTTGGGAAACGCCATACACGTCCCCTTTGAGAAACGCTAGCGCTAAACTCGTAACAATGCCAAAAAGAACCGGCAACAAATAGAGGAAGCAAAAGAGAAAGTCAAACAAGAAAACCAAAGCAGAAAAATGAAACGATCAACTTTAGCGCTTCCCAGAGGGTAACGTGTCTCGCGTTTCCAACGGTCAAGCTAACGGATTCCTTAAGGTTCCACCGATAGAAAAATTCCTTCTTTATTCGCGCATTATTTTTTTTTTTTAATTTAAACCGCTTTTGACAATGTCTAAAACAAACACTGCTCATAGATAGTACGTACATTTGATTTTGTCAATACAGCAACACCTTCGCTCTTGTGAGATGCATTTCCAGAAAAATCTCTTAGATGGCGCCAGCATGCCACTGTGGGTTTTCGTCGTAAGATGGTAGAAAAACTCGTTCGCAAGCAAACGTAATTGTGCGAACGGGCCTCTAGAGAGAACGATGACGAGCTCGAACCGTTGAGCATGTCATCCTCTCTTCGGCTGCAAGACGTCACGTTTCCGGGAAATATCAGTGCGATATGCGATGTAAGAACCGGAAAGCCATGCCCATCCAATCCAACGAGCTACGTTCCTTTGTTCTTTAACAACCACATTGGACCGGTACTATAATCAGTATCACCTGAAGTCCGATTGCAGACGACGCTACAAACCGACGAGGCCGATCAAGCAGCACCAGAAGTGCATCGTCACAGCACTCGTTGTCTTTGTGAGTATCACCGGCTTAACCAATCACAGAAAGAAAGAGAGAGTAAGATGTCGGCGCATTCACAGTGCATGGTTGTTTTGTTGGTGATAGCAAACAAGAAATACAATGACCGCTGTGACGACGCACATTTAGGCACTGCTGGAATGGTTCAATAAGATTGTAGCGTGATCTGCAGTCGGTTTGGGCGTTTCAAGCATTACATAACAGACGTGTGTCCAAGTAATTGGGCAGCAGGACGAACGTGAAATCTATAGAATTGAAGTAAAATATCCAGGTTTTATCACCTACCGCCTTGATTTGTTACGTAAAAATAATTAAATTGAGCTTCGCCAAGACGCCATTTTTAATGTAGATTTTTGGAAGGATCGCAGAAAACAATCCCTCTAACTTCGGATGCATGTTCTAAGTTATGCAGACTATCTAGTCTATCAAATAATGTTATTGTGCAAATAAACAGTTTTATAAATGCACTCTGAGAATAAACGATTCTAATTTTTTTTTTTTTTTTTCAGAACAGTTAACTTTTTTTTGTACTAAACAATCATGGAGCTGCTAGAATATTTTTATTTCTGCATACCACCACCCCTGAAACACTGGAAACTCATCAAAATTCATTGGACTTATTCCAGCGTACTCTCAACTGATTGCCGCAGTGTGCAATGTTGTGTGTCTTGATTCGTCAATTTTCAGTCAATTTGGAACTGCATTTAGCTGTATCGTAGATTCGGTATTTCTTTTGGCTTGGGCATTGCTTATTGTATTCTTCTTCGCATATAGCGATGTTTTCTTTGACGCTTGTATCAGCTCTGGAAGCTACTGCATCTGTATCAGCTTGAGGGAGTTGTTCATAGCCTTGCTTGACCCAGAGGTCACATTCTGGAACGAAGAAATTGGAATATTATAACCTTTTTTGTTGGCTTCCTTTCCATCGCATTAATGTTTTACGCGACAGAGTAAGACCGAATATTATCTCCATGGACTTTCCAGTTATTGATAATGTCCACGCAACATATTTGGCAATGAAGACTCCTTAAGGTTTACAACCACCAATAACACAAGTAAACTTGATAAGAAACAAATAGCCTCGATGATAACTTTTTCATATGTCACATGTAAATTTTTATAAGGAAATGAACATTTGAGACAGTCACATGCTAGCTTTCACATCTCTAAAGAGTGATGTTTTATGTTCACGTTAGAATAGTAGAAAATTTAAATTATAAACTAACGCTCGTAATATCACATGAGTGCGAAAGTAATAACGGAACACCAGCAAGTTACAACATGAAAGCAATAAATTCACCAGAAGGGTTTCAAGGTGTAGCAGGCATTCAGCATCCGTAGACAAATTCGAAAGGGTTAATTTTTTTGTTTCATCAGCTAAACTTAAATGTGAAGCTGACATACCGTCAGCTTCACATTTAGGAAAACACATTATTTTTAGCACGAAAATAAGTATATCATGCACAACATAGTAAACATTTTGGGCTCTTATGAGAGATTTATCTGCGGAGCATATAGAACTCAGAATACTTAAAGTTTCAAGTATTTCTCAAGCACTCAATTTTAATTTCTATAAGAATAATTAAGAGTTTGAATTGAAAACATGTTCGGTACATCTAAAGCCGGATGACACTGCTTATACATCACACAAAAGACAGTCTGCATACAGATTCGAACGCGAGTGACCGCGAGGTTCGTGCTTCGAATGCCGCATGGCAATGAGTTCAAGGATGAAACTTGGCACGCGGCATTCAAACCACGGATATTGCGCTGACTCGTGTTTACAGACTGTCTTTTGTATGAAGTATGAGCGCTCTGGACCCCGGCATAACAGTTAGCAAAATAAATATATAATTGCATTTTATTAGAACGCATAGAAAGTTCTATTAAACCTCTTAATTGTTCTGTATACCTTAACAACAGCTTGGAAAACGTGCCGTAATCAGATCACCGATTCTCAACTGGGTGATGCAGAGGAGAAGTCTTGCAAGATTGGTATTTGTACGCCTATGTACGATTCAAATAAATAAAGTGTCAATTCATAACTTAGCAATGCGTAAGACATATTTCGATATTTTTTAGAGTTATTGATTTTGAATCATTTTTTTTTATATTGCCCAGAAAGTATCGAAACGAATCTTAAACATGGGGACAGCGATAGAGATATCTAATCACGGAAGGATGGGCAACAAAGCAATCCCAACAAAACTTCGAAATCTACGTACGTCATCACGAATAGCCAGGATAGTATTCACGCCAGTTTTTTTTCCAAATTATTCAGGCGCTGTCTCATTGAGAAACCAGTTGGACCACTCTACCCGTCGACACGAGGAAAACGCGTTTCCGGCGAACTTGTAACATCCCAAGAAACTTCGATGAGCACACTCTCAGCTCTCGAATTATTTCGTCCTTTGACGGAAGATGCTGTAGCCAGTTTGTGGTGTACCAGTAATTTTAGGGTAATGCAGGATATATATTTATTTAACTGATAGATTACATTCGGTTGACAACGTCTTCTTGCCCTGCGACCGCGCCCAGTCTGTTCTTTCGCGCAGGCCTCACGTTCTTCAACGGGGCTCGCTCTCCCTCGCCGGCGTCTCCGGTTGCACCAGCCCGCGCGCTATTGCCTGGACCAAAGGTCGTGTTCGCTGTGCGTGGCGAACACGCACACAATACACGGCACGCACACAATACACGGCAATATCTCCCCCTTAAAAAAAAACTTCACTTTTTCACAGGCCCAGCCGCGTTGGTGTCTGACGCGTCCGCGTTGATCTTCTGAGAAGAGGAGAGCTGCCCTCCGTGCTCTGGCCACGTGTGCCATTAAGCGGTCTGGCTGGCGAGCTTGGAGTGCCTACCTCCGGCGTTGCAGGATCGTTCTGCGTGGTTGGAAAATCGTCACTGGAAATCGGAGACGATGAACCGTTTCGCTGGCTGATGCCGCGGGGAGGGGCAAACTTTTTCGATGTTTTTGCGCCCTTGAGGCTATCGTCTTGATTCGGAGATATTCCCTCCTCCTCCATGGGTACATGTCGCAGCTGTTCAATGTGCCGTTTCCAGGTATTTCCGTCGTTCGTGCGAATCTCATATGTTCGATTTCCCAGAAGTCGTACGACGACTCCTTTCGACCATTTCTTGCCGTTCCTGTAGTCTCTTGCCCAGACCTGGTCGTTCAGATGTAGGTGTCGTTCTTTCGAGTTGCGCGAGGCGTGCTGCTTCGCCTGTTTTGATCGCACGACATCCGTTATTGATGGTCTAAGAAGATCGAACCTTGTGCGAAATTCGTCTCCTGTCATCATTTTGGCAGGAGTTGAGCCAGTTGTCGTGTGCGGGGTTGTCCGGTGTGCCACCAAGAAGTTATGGCATGCCTCTTCCATGGTCAGCCCCGACTTCAGGCTTGCGTTGACAGACTTCTTGAATGTTCCCACGAAGTTTTCAGCCGCACCGTTCGTTGCGGGATGGTTCGGGGGTGAGAATGACTGCTGCACTCCATTTCTTGTCATTAAATCCCGTAATTCGCTTGATCGGAATTGCGGGCCATTGTCTGTCACAATCCTTTCTGGCAGTCCATATCTTGCAAAGAGAGTTAGAAACACTCTTATGGTGGCTGCCGAAGTCGTCGAGGTCATGGGCACTACCTCGGGCCATTTTGAATATGCATCAATGATCAGCAAGAAATTCCTTCCTTGAAAGGGTCCTGCGAAGTCTGCATGCAGGCGTTGCCATTTCTTTTTTGGGTATTCCCACGGGTGTGTGGGAACTTTGGGTGCCTCGTTGCTCACTTCCTGGCACGGCCGACAACTTCGGACCATCGTTTCGATGTCATGATCCAAAAGCGGCCACCACACGTAGTGTCGTGCCAGTCCCTTCATCTTTGTCATTCCTGCATGACCTTGATGCAAGTCGTTCAAAACGTGTTTTCGGTACCTCGAGGGTACGATGACGCGTGTTCCCCACATTAAGCAGTCGAGCTCCACGGTTAGTTCTGTTCTGCGATGGAAGTAAGGTTTGAGGTCTTCGGAATTCACTTGTTCCGGCCATCCATCCATGGTGAGTCTTAAAACTTTAGACAACACAGTGTCCTTTCGTGTCTCTCGGCTGACCTGCTTATGTGTCAGTGGTAGTGCTTGAAACTTTTCTAGATAGAGACATTTGATTTCGTCCATTCTTGTAGTTTCTGATTTCATAGTGCCCTTGTCAGTCATTGGGAGTCTCGACAGCGTGTCTGCGACTACGTTCTTATCACTCGACACGTACTTCATGTCGAAGTCATACCACTTTATGTCGAAGTCATACCCTGACAAGATGATTGCCCATCGCTGCATTCTTGCTGCGACCGTGCCTGGGATTCCCTTACTGGGATTGAAAATCGATACCAGGGGTTTGTGGTCCGTCCACAGCGTGAAGTGGCGTCCAAACAAATACTGGTGAAATTTCTTTGCGCCCTCAACTAGACTCAACGCTTCTTTGTCAATCTGAGTGTAGTTTCGCTCACCTTTAGAAAGCGTTCTTGACACGAAGGAGATCGGCCTCCGTTGCTTGTTGGGTAGTACGTGTTGAAGTACTGCACCAATTCCATGGCTCGATGCGTCACAGTGCAGTTCCAGAGGAAGCGCAGGGTGATAGTGCACTAGCAGACTCTGCTTGGTGAGTTGCTTCTTCGCTTCGTTGAAGGCTCTCTGGCACGATCTCGACCACTCCCACCTTTTATCTTTTCGCAGCAGTTCATGTAGTGGATGTAGGATGTCGGCTGCGTTGCTGATGAACTTCCCGTAGTAATTCAGGAGTCCTAGAAATGCTCTAAGTTCATTTTGGTCTTTGGGCATCTTCGCTTGTAGGATCGCATCAACCTTCTTAGGATTTGGGTGGATTCCTTGTTTGTCTACAACATGTCCTAGGTACTCGATGGAGTCCTGCATGAAGCAGCATTTTTCTTTTCCCAAGCGAAGGCCACTTTCCTTGAGTTTTTGCAGTACGATGTCCAGGTTCCGCAGGTGATGTTGATCGTTCTTGCCAGTTACCACGATGTCATCCTGAAATGCACCTGTGTACGGCAACTTTCCAACGAGTTCTTCCATGACGCGTTGGAAAAGAGCTGATGCTGGAGTTATTCCAAATAGCACTCTGTTTACATGATAGAGCCCTTTGTGTGTGTTGATCACAGTGAGGTCTCTGGATTCTTCCGCTAAGGGGATCTGGAAGTAGGCTTGTTTACAATCCAGCTTGGTGAACTTCTCCCCATGAGCAATCTTCACAAAGAGGTCTTCAGTCTTTGCTAGTGGGTACCTATCTGGCTTCAAGGCTGCGTTGAGTGTAACCTTTAATCCCCGCATATGCGCACTTGTCCGTTTGTCTTCATCACTGGAACAATTGGAGTCGCCCACTGACTCCTCATCACAGGAGTGATTATGTGCTCTTTCTCAAGACGATCCAGCTCCTCTTCGACCTTTTGTCGGGGGGCGTATGGAACTGACCTTGGTCTGAGAAACTTTGGTTGAGCATCATCATTCACGCAGAGTTTCACGGCGTAGTCCTTCAGTTCTCCCGGACCTTCAAAGATGGAACTGTGTTTCTGTAGCACACCTGCGAGAGTTAAGGTTTCTGCACGCACGTTGTGCAGTTCCTTTTAGTTCACTTGAAAATCCTGAAGCCATGCTCTTCCCAGTATGGGAGGTCCCCCATTCTTCACCACTTGGATTTCATGGGGCTTGACTTGCCCGTTGTACCGCATCTTCACTTGAACCCTTCCCTCTGGAACGATGGGCTTGCCGGTGTACGGCTTCAGCGTTATTCCCGAAGGTTTCAACTGGATGTTTGGAAGAATTTCTTGAAACGTCTCCAGGTTGATCACAGTCACGGGTGAGCCTGTGTCAATCTCCATCTGAAGAGGTTTGTTGCAAATCTCCACAGTTACTGTGATGGGTTTCGGGTAGCTTGAGTCAATGAAATAAAACGGAGTTTCGTCTCCCGAGTTCTGTGTAATGACATGGTTGGTGAAGCTTGGCCTGTCCTTTTTTCTTGAGTCTTGTGGATCTCGTTTCCTGTCGCGACAGACCGATTGGAAGTGTCCTGTTCTTCCGCATTTTTTACAAGTCTTGTTCCTTGCAAAGCAGTTTTCAGGGTCGTGATTGGTTTTGCCGCAGCGATGACATGGGGTCCTGCTTGTGCGAGATTTTCCTTTTTCTTCGCTGGCCTTTTTCGGAAGTGACGTCTTGTGTTTCCGGCCTTGCACCAAGCGATTGACATCTTGCTGGATTTCGGTCTCGCTCCTTATTTCTTTCGCATCCTTCATTGCTACCTCCATCGAAGTGGCAAGATCCACCGCTGCCTTGAATGTCAGCAACGGTTCAGCCAGCAGCTTTTCAAGAATGTTTCCGTCCATAATGCCGTCAATGAGCTTGTCCCGAAGGCGGTCGTTAAGGGAAACACCGAAGTTGCATTGCAGTGAAAGCTGTTTGAGCGCAGCTACGTAGTCTGCGATGGTTTCGGATTCCAGCTGCTTC